GCTGTGATTTCCTCGTCCAGCAGCTCGACCCCAGCAACGCCATCGGCATCGCCAACTTTGCCGAGCAGATCGCTTGCACAGAGCTCCACCGGAAGGCCCGTGAATACATCTACATGAACTTCAGCCAGGTCAAGATTGGAGATTATTTAAAATTGTATTTCTGTTTTTCTTTTCAATAGTTGACAGAAAATGTGGCGAGAGAAAGGGGGCGTTAAATCGTAAAAAAAAATGATATAGAATAATCTCTAATGGTTTTAATGACTTTTCATAAATGTATCTGAACAGCTGCTGAGTGAAAATAGAAACTGACCTTTCATATTAATAGTAGATTTTACTCTTGTGTTACTTTTGTGTAAACTGTGTCTGTTGATATGAGTGAATGCTGTTTCACTTGTTTCATTGTGGTTTCTGCTGGTTGACTTCAGACCTGCTACCAACAGCACCTTGTCAGATCTGTGCAATGACTGTCAAGAATGCCAGCTTTGACTTATGATGAGCAGTATGTGGATTTACCTGAAAAGTAACGAAAGGACACACAATATTCATCTTTGATAAGTTGATAAGATAAAAGAGGCCTCGGCTGCTCACTGCATCAGAGATGTCTTCAAACGATCTTCCAGGGGTTCAGCCTCAACAATTGTTGTGCTTTTCTTTACAAGTTAAGGTTAAAATAAATATACAAAATACACAAAGCATGTTTTAATTTCATACATGCGTTTATGCGTTTTGTTCGAAATATACCACAACTCTCATGGCAGGAAGCCACACTTCCTGAGTGTAAAGTCTGTGTGCTAGTATAGAAAAAGCTTCACAATAGACCTAAGTGTTGCACAGCTGGATCAGTCTTGATTTGTCACAGTTACCTGAACTGTTGTGTTGAACTATTGCAACAATTTCAAGAAAGCTGTCCGAAATGTCTTTGCCCCATCTTCTGGAGTTGTTCCTTTTTGAATTATAAACCGCTTTCTTTAACATTATTCTATTGTTAGCAGGATTCTTAAAAACTTTATTATACCTTTTTTTTTTTTTTTTTTTATTCCGTCCCTATATATGATTGAGCAGAATATTTTTGTATTATGAAAAGATATTTAAAGTTTTCTTCCCTGCTGATAGGTGGCGACCCAGGAGGAGTTCTTCAACCTGTCCCACTGCCAGCTGGTCACCCTCATCAGCCGCGATGAGCTCAATGTGCGCTGTGAGTCCGAGGTCTTCCAGGCATGTGTGGCCTGGGTACGCTACGACCGGGAGAACCGGCGGCCGTACGTCGAGGCGTTACTCCAGGCCGTGCGCTGCCATTCCCTCACCCCCAACTTCCTGCAGGCCCAGCTCCAGTCTCTGGACTGGGACCCCCAGTGTAAAGATTACCTGGCCCAGATCTTCCAGGATCTCACCCTCCACAAACCCACCAAAGTAATTTCTTGCCGAACACCTAAGGTGCCGCAGCTCATCTACACAGCAGGGGGGTATTTCCGTCAGTCCCTCAGCTACCTGGAGGCGTATAACCCCTGTACGGGAGCCTGGGTGAGGCTGGCCGACCTGCAGGTGCCCCGCAGCGGCCTCGCAGCCTGTGTGATCAGCGGGCTTTTCTACGCTGTTGGAGGAAGAAACAACGCACCTGATGGCAACATGGACTCAAATTCATTGGACTGCTACAATCCTATGAACAACTGCTGGTTGCCGTGTGCGCCGATGAGCGTACCGAGGAACCGAATTGGAGTTGGCGTCATCGACGGCATGATATATGCAGCCGGGGGATCACATGGGTGCATTCATCACAATAGTGTTGAAAGGTAAGCAAATTGAGCTCTGTAATGGTGTTATTGATTTTCTTTTTTATTATACCCATCAATCAAACAAAACCATTGACCAATTATGTGCCAATCCAATTTACACAACTCTGCCACATACACAGCAATGTATTCCCATGCATGCTGTTTACCTTTGCATTGATATTGATTCCTTTATTGATTGGTATGATTAGATAAACACATGGTTTTAGATAGATAATAAATCGTTGACTCTATTATAGGCCTACAGACACAGAATATACTATTTTCTCTCTGATGTGTAAATGCTAGTTACATATAATGTTTGTACCTTTTCAATTATTAGAAAGAAGAAAAATCTAAAGTATTAGGGCAGACTTTTGACAAATCCAAATTTGTTATAGGAAAACAATATTACTTTTTAATTTTGTATTGTCTTCAACAATTCCTATGAAGAGACCAAAGCCAATTCTGAAATCATTACTGCTATCATTAATGTAGCAACAGCCTGATTTATCTTTGAAAGGTGGGCTTTGATTGGGGCCAGGTTATTTTCAAAGCCCTTTTAACCATAACCCTTTGGATAATTTGGATTCAGTAAACAATATGCAATGGTGAAGTCCAACAGATGACATGTATTAAACAGGTGTATGCTTTGGTCTGTTTACTCTATTTAGTCAATGAGTGCCCAGGAGCAGGTACCTTCCTGGGACTTTATTGGTTTTGTTTCACTTCCTGTAATTTATTTTTAGTTTGCACAAAGCTTCAATGAGGAAGGGAATGTGTTATCAAGCTAAAGAGTAAACGATACACCCCCTGCCTTTGTGTTCCAACTCTCAAACTGCCACATGCAATACTTGTTAAATACCTTCACAAAACCGGCAACATTATACATTTTAATGAGCAATACAAAGCTGGAGGCAACATTTTCCACCAACAATTGTTAACTGTATGTGTGCTGCTGTGTAGGCATGACTCAAAGCAAGACTTTAACCTCTTTAATACAGTGAATATTAGATATATTCATATAACCTTAGTTCAGTGTTGAAGATTTACCAAAACTCTGAATCAGACCGAGAGCAGAAACAAATGTCAAATATTAACCAGGCTCACCTCAGTGGAAAAGGAAACATGCTGAACCTGTCCGAGTGCTCACGTGATGAATCAGAAAAAGATGTGACTTATCACAGACTGCAGATATGGGCTGAACAATTAATCGGTTTAATCAAAATCTTAAGATAGACTAGTGCAATATACAAAGTGCAGAAGGCACAATGTGTCAAGATCATTCATCCTAAACAAGCAAAACTCTCTATAACTGTCTTGGTTATTCTTCTTGTACAATCACCACCTCAGCGCTATATGCTTCTGCTGTGTAGCATCTGAGCTTCTATCCCTCACTCTTTGAAGGATGGCCAATAAATTAGCAAAGTATAATGACAAGACAATTTAGCTTACTAAAGCCAAAGGATGGGAAAATAAACTAACGTATGAATATGTGTTGTTCCTGGTCTGAAGGTATGATCCAGAAAGGGACCAATGGCACCTTGTAGCCCCCATGTTGACGCGGCGTATCGGTGTGGGTGTCACCGTCATCAACCGGCTGCTTTACGCCGTGGGGGGGTTTGACGGGGCCAACAGGCTCAGCTCCTGTGAGTCCTACAACCCTGAGAGGGACGAGTGGAAGACCATGGCCCCCATGAACACTGTGCGCTCTGGAGCGGGTAAGGAGGGACGGAAATCTGCCTTCTGATGATTGACTTGTCAGGTCGAAAGTTATTTAATTCACAATTTGTTGGGAAAGTGGCCATCCACGTTTTAAAAATGTACGCAAGGTATTTCATTTTCTCCGACAGGCCATCTAGTCTCTGTTATTGAAATCAAAAGGACTTAAAGATTTAAACTGGACAACAGAGGAGTACAGTTATATCGTACGTGTTACCAATGTCAATGGTTGGATCCAGCTGGATAACCTTGTGGCATGTTGTCAAATCCTGTGATTTGAGATAAAAGCTGTCAAATAAGTCTAAAGCCCAGCCAAGAAGAAAATAAATTGTATATTGATCTTATTATGCCCACAATAATACTTCTATCTGCCCGGTGATTCAGATCTGCTTCTAAATATAATGGGTTCTTCCTTTGCCAATGTTTAACCTTTCCAGGAAGTTTCATACAAATCAAACCAGTAGTTTTGCATAATACTGCCTTACATAACCCCCATGGAGTGAATTACTCAATCAAAAAGGATTAAAAGTTAAGAAAAATACTAGCCAATGTGTTGGAAAAAAACCTTGTTATAGTAGTTACATGTTGGTGTTGGTCTGACATTTTAGATTAATTAGATTTATGACAATGTCGGCATGTCTTTGATTGATATAATTGTATTAAAGCACAGTTTTTAAAAACATAATTATACCCATAACAAAGATACCTATAAAGTACACAGTTACATTTGTATTCTGTATGAGTTTCATGTAGTGTGTACTTGGACATCCTCCAATATAACTGTTAGCCCATATCACTATAAAGTAATCTTACACTTCAACTAACCATTGATCCTTCTTTTCAGGTGTGTGCTCGCTGGGGAATCGGATCTTTGTGATGGGCGGCTATGACGGCACCAACCAGCTGAACTCAGTGGAGTGCTATAATGTGGAAACTGATACGTGGATCTTTACTGCCTCCATGAGGCACCGACGCAGCGCCCTGGGAGTCACTGCGTTACATGGGAGCATCTATGTTTTGGGTGAGTAGTTGTGTTACCACTGAGTAAAAGCATCAATATAACTTGAGCACATTTTCTATGGACATTGGGGTGTAGGCCAACTAACTAATGTTATTCCACCTAACTGTAAATGTGTTGGGGTCACATACAGTGTTAGGGGTACCAACTAAAATAAGCAGCTTTATTTATTGGACGAAATGTCAATGTTGTATTTACAGGAGGTTACGACGGCAACACTTTCCTGGACAGCGTGGAGTGTTATGACCCTGAGAAGGACACCTGGGCGGAGGTAACACATATGACGTCAGGGCGGAGCGGCGTGGGGGTAGCCGTTACCATGGAGCCGTGCCAGAAGGAACAGCCCCAGTGTCCAAATTCTGAGAGGGAGATCAGTGAATCGTCACCGGCATATCATTCAGCCAACTCCGACTTTACCTCTAATCACCATCTGGGGCATGGAGGGCCTTTTGGTAAAGGCGCATGAGGTTTATCGTTTGACCCTGTCGTGCCACACACACACACACACACACACACACACACACACACAGACAAGTGTCCCAAAACTCCTCTCAAAAGAAAGACACTCACGACTGATTAGAGACGGAGGTGAGCTGAAACATGACATGCTGCCTCACTGGTTCTTAAGATCACACTTAATGTAAAAGCAAAAAAAGGAAATCAGTAACACTGTATTTCAAAAGTGCAGTGTTAATAGTCATCTCTGATGTGACAAAAACATTTGAGTGGCCGCTTTGGACTCTCCAAATCCACAATAACCTCAGATCATATAGTCTGCCTTTCTAGACCTTAAAGTTGAAGAATCTGTTTTAAACTGTGTTTTGCCAAATCTGAGAGACCTCAGTCTGTCTGTGTTTTCAGATCTGCTGTCTGTCCTCAGTCGGACCATCACCTCCCATGGGAGGAAAGGGCTGCATACAAAAAAAAAATGTTCTACCCTTCAAGCTCAAGTTAAGAGAAATTCATAATTAAAGTGATCTCATTATATAACAAAAACAACAAAAAAGTAGCATTTTTCAGAATAGGCAGTATAGTTTAAAGTGCCATTTCAATGCCTGTGGGCATTACTCTAATCAGTATATTGACTTGAGCTGCTCTAATAGAAAGGCACAGGCGTTAATTGTGTGGTGTGTAGACATTGGTGAAGTTAACCCAGACAGCCACAAGATGAAGCTTATACACAAGAGTGGACCTCATGCAAGAACGTTTCGGTATCCTCACTCTTAACATCCTATATTTATTTATGGGCAGGTATTCTTTTATGTGTCAGTATCAAGAAAACTGCACAAATTTATCATGAAAATCAGCCTGATAATTACCTCCTTTTTCATTTTGTGATCATCAGAACACCCAAGTTGAATTATGAAGCTTTGGTTCTGCTCTGTGGGTGAGTTTCATTCACAAAATCATCCCTATAGTTTATTATCACAGCTAAGGAAATAGTTGATGGCAAATTCTCCTAACTTCCTCACACTCCTAACTTCTTTCTTTGGCTTTTTTGCCATAATTAGGGAGTTGGTAGAAAGGGGTTTGACATGTGGGTCCCAAGGGTTGAATTGATCCTGGGACAATATGGCATGTTCTACATCCTCTCGGCTACCAATGTGCTATGCTTTTACATCAATGTATGTTGAATATTCCTACAAGTGGTTCTTGCATGAGGCGCAGTCTCAACTTCAAGAGCTGGTACAAGAGAAGCAGGACCTATACAAAAAAAATAAAACAGAATTTTGACAAATGTGTTCTTTCACTGATAGCCACTTGTAGTGCATAGAAAGTGTTTGGTTTCTTTCTGTCGTGGGGGATTTGTTGGCAAATGAGTTTTGCTTCATATAACGCTGTGAGAGAGTCTGGTTCAGTAGAATCGGTGCCAATAGAACAAAGAAACAGAGTATGACTGCATTAATGGGAAACAAAACATGGTATCATTTTTTAAATTTGGATTTTAAATGTCTTGCTGAAATGTGTTTTTATAAAAGCACTAATTAAGGACTCAATTGAGAACTTCCCCTCCAGTGGACTTTTTGGTTCTCTCCTCCACCTGACCTCAGAAACAGAAGTGACCATATTTGTCCATAGTGTTCACATAATGTACGCTAATGACAACTACTTGCTTAAAGCAGTGTATTTGTAACAGCAATTTAAGCTACAAAGGTTTTTAAGTGATGTTTTGTACATTGATATTCTAAAAAAGCCTTGTACAGAATTTCTGAGCTCACTTTTTTTATTTATTTGTTCAGGATTTGTTTTGGTTTTCTCATTCCTCTAAACTAATCAGCTTTGTATTGAATTGGACTCTAGTGTAGATTTTTTTTTTTTGAATAACTAGCATGCATTGTAACTAAGTAGAAATGCCTGTTTATGCTAATTTTGGATGTTTGTAAAACAAATTGCTTCACTTTGAAAGGGAAATTTTGTTCCTGTTTGTCAGTAGTTGGAATGGAAATTAGATTATGTAATGTCTGCTTTGTACATTTTCTTTTTCTGCACAAATACCCTGTACAATAATACATTGCAAAGTAAAATATATGTTTATTGTACTGCAATAGTCATGTATTTATTTGTTAATTTTTCATCTGTATTGTTTTTATAATTAGTCCCTAACTAAATTAATATTTGTTTTAATATTAAACATCCATGTGGAGTTAGACATTTAGGTTTATGCAGGTTTTCAAAGCATCAGCAGCCACCAGAGGGGGCTACAGCTCTAAAATGGAAAAGATAAGATCATCATTAGATCTGCATTTTAGTTTACTAGTCCAACAGTAGGCAATGGTACAATGAAATATATCCTTTACTTGTTCACTGTATCAGATGTTATCATATACCATGAGATGGTCAAATAATTTCAGCTTCACTTTTGACACATAAAGTTTGATTTAGGTTTTTATGTTGACTTTCATTGAGTTTAAACCTGTGGTAATTTTGCTATTAATCGACCACCCATGATTGTTGCCATCACATCTCATTTCCTTGCTCAACCAGGCAGGTGGATGAGACTATTATTATATTATCCAAGAGGAAAACTTCCATGATTATGTGGATTTACAAGAGGATCAAGGTGTAATCCTGTAAAGCAGGAAGACCACAGCAGCCCATAACAAAGGAAAGCTATTTAGGAACAGTTTGAGCTGTTGTTACTGTGCCCTATAACTCATTTTATATATCCCTTAATTCATTCAGAGAACACACACGTCACTAATCAATAAAATGGCCTGATTATTAGATCCTTAGGTATAAGCAGCACATGAGATAACATGATGAGCACATCAGTGTCACTGGAAGCATTGCCTCTCCTATTTTTTAAGAAGGCTCTGTTGGATTTCATCTTTTGTCAGAGTAACACTTCACATTTGGATGAATTTGGCCCAAATTAATTAGAATTTAAAATAGCCAAAAAAGGACATCGAAATATAATTCTTCCTTATAGTCATCCAAACAAAATAGAAATTCCACTACTGCAAGTAGAAACATATCCTGTAGCTTTTTGAGAAACCGGCTCGAGATACACTTTTTGTTATATTCCATGGAATGCTCCTAACATCCCGATAGCAATGAATATCTTAAAGACATAGAGTAACTCCAACAGTATAGATGAACTATGAGATTCATATTAAATATGTATTAATGTGCTAGGCTGTTGGAAGACCTCATTCCCTTAATGTACTGTATTATGTGTCAAGTTAGCGCTCGCGGGGGTTCAACCGGCTTTTGAGTAACGGATTTATTTTGAAATTCTCGTCCGGATGTCTTGTGTTGTTGACTTCTAACTTTACCTCAGTCTGCTGTCTAACGATGAAAACACGCACCCGAGTCCCACCGGACACCAGTGGATCCTCTTCAGGAATAGGTAAGTGAAACTCACCTGGTTAAACCTGCAACATAAAATATGTTTTACAGAAGTGTATGCTTATACTTTAGAGACAAACTGAACTTCTTTTGAAAGTTGATGGACGGGAGTCCTATGTCATGAACATGTAAAGTGTTGTGTGATTTCGCAACTATGACAACTAATATCTGTCATACGATGTCGATACGCTTGTTTTATTGTTACATAGATCAGATTTTCTTATAAACAGAAATAAGGCCGCTGTTCACATTACGATTTAAACCCGACATCTAGTTTTTGCGTTGGCTGCTGCAATGGTATGTCTAGACCTTTTTGTTTATACGTGTCGGTGTCAAGTGTCACATTTAATCATAAATTAAATAGGCGAATTCATAATTTTGGATTAAGTCTTAATAGTGTTATTAAAGCTGATGAGAATGTGTTCTAGTTTTTACTCAAAACACTGTAATTCTTAGGCGGAAAATTACCTCACCCCTTTCCTGATAGAGTTTCTGTTGTCAAACTAGTTTATCCACTTTGAATCCACCCACAATGAAAGGTGCATATTCACCCATTCATTCAAGGCCATGCATGCCTAAAGCATGTAGCCACCTTCTGTATGATGAAACCAAATGTTCTTTTAGTCTGTGTGGGTACATGTTTTGTGTCTTATAACTTTTAAAGCCTTTGACAAGATGTTCGAGACTGAACTGTGTGGAGAGCCAACCTTAGCCTCAGTGTTTACATTCACTATATTCTTTCCCCAGTGAGGAGCAACCGCCAGGATGATCCCAGTGGGTGAATTCAAAAACTTTGGCGTAGATCAGAACTCAAAGTATCGTGTCCTGAAGCCGTGGTGGGATGTTTTCTCAGAGTACCTGTGCGTTGCTATGCTTATGCTTGGAGTCTTTGGGTGCACCTTGCAGGTGAGACATCGACACACCAGACACTTTGTGACCAAAAGCTCTTTAATCCTCAACTGATTACACAGATTTAGAAATGCAATTATTACCAACCTGAAATAGCTTGATGTGGGTAAAACATGTGCATAATTTGTATCTTTTGTGGCATATCAGAGGAATGTTTTGTTCCCACATACCTTCCTCTGTGTTTATACATTATCTGACCTCCAACTCAGGCAAAAACACCAACAGTGTTACTGAATGACCCTGTGTCTCCTGACCTACTTACTCACACAGATCTCTAACTTGCTCCTTAATGTGTCCACTCTCCACCCGCCTGGTAATCATTTCTGTGTCAGTTACGACTAGCACAAAAGCAAAGTAAATATGTGATAATAATGATAAGTTCTGCTACTTACTTCAATATCTCCCTATAGAAAGTGTGAACCATGTCTGTGTTGTTTTATTAAAGAAGAAAAGTAGAGACAGTTGATCCCCCTGGATTGTGCAACTTTAGTAAGACACACACACTTGGCAACGGACCAGAAAATCCATTAAACTGGATGATGTTTAACAGAAAACACAGACTTTATTAAAATACGGTAAAGTCATATATCAAATCCAAACTGAAAGACAGAGAGAGTTAGTTTTAAGATTTTGAAAGGAAAGTGAATACGTCTTAATGATTTTGCAGAGTGGGGTTAACATTCTATATTTGTCCTGTAGTCGTCAAATCCCAAAGCAACACTGAATCGATCCTATTGAGAAGTATCAAAAGCCTGACAAAACACTGTTGCTGTGCTGGTTGTCAATAGTTTAAGCTCTATTGTTTGACCTGTTAGTAAATATCAGTGAACTCCTTTTTCAACGAAGTTTCCTTTGTTTAAAACAAATTGTGGACACAAATAAATCTTATTATCCTTAAGTAATTATTTATTTCATGTTTTCAATTATTTAGCAGACTGGTGAAGAGCAAATTGTCAAAGAGGATGAACAAAAATGAACAAAAATGAAAGAAAATATGAAAAACATTTTATTATATTCTATTTATTTATAAAAGATGTGGGACAGTGCAAATTATAATAAGTACACTAAGTAGGAAAAATATCAGAATAAAAAAAAGAAGGCCATTTCTCATCTGTTGTCCACGGCCCAAGTGTTACATAAGGTTTCTTATATTATCTTATATATAAAAGTTTAAACTCAGTAGAAGTATTATTTACTTTCCTTTCCTCTGTCCCTCCAACTTATTTATTATTTCATTAATCTTTCATCTACAGCTCACTCAAGACAAGATTGCATGCCTGCCTAGCCACTTCACCAGCCCGACGCCTGAAGCCATAGACTGCAGCCACCTCGGGAGCTACAGGGAGAACGAGACATCCATGCAGACGCTCGTCAAACCTACGAAGCCCATCCTCCAGGAAGTGTCCGGTCGCAAAAACAACCTGGACATCCACCAGTATGTGTTTGTCAACCACTACTGCTACGAGAGGTTCGTCCACTGGTACGCAAAGTACTTCCCATACCTCGTTGTGATCCACACCATGATCTTCATGGTCGCAAGCAGCTTCTGGTTCAAGTTCCCTGGGACATCTTCCAAGATTGACATCTTTGTTACCATCCTTGGGAAGTGCTTTGATTCTCCCTGGACCACGAGAGCCCTGAGTGAGGTTTCTGAGGAAAGGGGAGAGGAGAAACTGGTGAATTGGAGAAGGAACACCATGTCAAAAGATCCCCCAGAACGACGAGCAGATGATGATGAGACTGTGGTGCTTCTTCGCTCCGCCTCTGTCAAGTCGAATCCAGAAAAGAAAAACATGGAGCCCCAGTCGGCAGCCTCTGTCTTGGATAAGAAGGAAGGAGAGCAGGCCAAAGCTCTGTTTGAAAAGGTGAAGAAGTTCAGGACTCATGTAGAGGAAGCAGACATCTTGTATGTCATGTATGTGCTACAAACGTCACTTAAAGTCTTCAAGTTTCTAATAATCATCATCTACACTGCAGTGCTGGTACCAAAAATTGAGATCGTAGTGCGCTGTTATGTTCCTCCCGAGCTGACTGGGTTTGATATCTTTTGCTGTAACCACAACAAAGCCCATCTTTTCTCCAAGCTTGCTTACTGCTATATCTGCTTTGTGGGCGTGTTTGGACTTCTCTGCATCTACACGCTGTACTGGCAGTTCCACAGACCTCTGAAGGAGTACTCCTTTGAGCAGGTCCGCCTGGAGACGGGCATTAACGACATACCGGACGTGAAGAATGACTTTGCGTTCCTCCTGCACCTTGTGGACCAATATGATGCTCTTTACTCTAAAAGGTTTGCCGTCTTTCTGTCTGAGGTCAGCGAGAGCCATCTCTATCAGTTAAACCTCAACTACGAGTGGACCGCCAAAAAGCTGCGTTCACGCCTCACCAAGAACGCCAAAAACCAGTTGGAGCTCCACCTGTTAATGTTGCCGGGTCTCCCAGACACCGTCTTTGAGATTACTGAAATGGAATCACTCAAACTGGAGCAGGTTAAAAACGTCACCATCCCAGCTAGTGTGGCAAAGCTTGAATCTCTGCGGGAGTTATCGCTGATCTTCTGCCCTGCAAAGCTTCATCTGCCGGCCCTCAACCACCTCAAGGCGCATTTAAAGGTCCTGTGTCTAGATTTTGAAAGTTTAGACGAGATTCCTATGTGGATGTACACCCTGCAGAGCTTGGAAGAGTTACATCTGAATGGTCCTTTAACCAATGAGTTGTCCAAAAGTGCCTCTCTGGATTCCCTTCGAGAGCTCAGAGCTCTGAGAGTCCTTTCTCTCCGCTCCAACCTCACTAAGATCCCTCCCAGCGTAGTGGATGTTGCATTACAGCTGCAGCA